CCCCAAAACCCCAAAACCCCAAAACCCCATCAAGTCATTAATTGAAAGTTAAAAAGATATGTAAAATGTATTTAAAATTTTTTAATAGTTATTAAAAATGATTATTTGAGAGTTTGAAGAATTCCTTTCATTTTTTATTCACTTTTTAAGTTCAGTCTAAAATACTTTATCCCAAAATTTGCAGATTACTCCATATCCAGCATTTCCATTCTTGTAGTGATGCTGCATATGATAGATCTTGAGATTTCTAAAGTAATTATTTTGTGGTGAGGAATGATGTAAAAAGTGATGAACTAAATCATAAGTTAAGAACCCTAAATAAAATCCAGCTAAAACTATACCAGCATATTCCTCTGGTATTATTCTTCTTGCCTAAGGATCTATGATGGAAATTGCGAAAAGCATAGCTGGTAGCACTGGAGTTATTACTCCATAGGTTTCATTTGGAAATGCATGGTGCATTCCATGAGTAATGAAGTTAAATATCTAGAATACTCTAGTTGGAGGAGCCCATATTTTTTCAAAATGGAATACAAATCTGTGAAGGCAATACTCAGTAATAGTCCAAATCATAAACCCAAAAATAAGAGATAGAACTTGATCTGTGATTGAGAGTTAAGCTTACCACACATTGTATAAAATTAAAGAAACCCAACCAAAAATTGCATGTGACCAGTGAACTTGAACTCCTAATTATAGTAGTTTATTGTCATACATCTTAATATGACCTTTTCGGTTTAGCAGAGCTTTGGGTTCCTCAATAAAAGCTAAATATTAATCTATAGAAAGTTCAGCTTTCCATAATTACCAGATGAGACCTTTTTCGTAATCTGGATTCCACTATTTTCTTGTTATTACATAACCATTTAATCCCTCGATCTCACGATTTAACCTGAAGTCTTTTGCTTCATTTGCTGGTATTTTAGAGTCATGTTATTAGATAGAATTTTGAGGTTCATTTTTCAAGAATCCTATTAATGGTATTTCGTTGAATAATTATTTTGCTTACACAGTATGTCCAGTTTCATTAAATGGCTCGTCAATTTCACAATTCAAGTATTATTCTAAAATTTATGAGCCTCCAGGGTGGATCTCAATATAACTATTAATATTGAATACTTTTTTTTCGAATACTATTAATTTCAAGTTCTTATCAGACTCTCCTAAATTCTGTACTTCTTTTATTGAGTTGAATTCTATTGTTTTATCTTATTTAACCATTCTTATTGTATTATTGTCTACTTTCATTTACTTTTGCACTTCTAACTTTTTCTGCTGATTATTTCCTGCATTTTTAATTAGAGCTCTATCGATCATGACTATTTGCTATTTTATTTTTATTTGCAAAATTAAAATATTTAGAACCTAATTAATGGTCCAAAATTTTGAATAACAAATCTCTGACCTTTTCACAAGTTGATATTTTAATTAATTGTAAATTTTCAACAAAATTGTGCTTTAATTCTTGAAAAGCAAACACACTGTTTATTAGTTCAAGTTAAAATTATTAAAATTAATTATCAAAAAAAAAATTATTCAATCTTCTTATGTAATCACATAACTTAAACAAAGGACTCTAAGTCATAGAGAAGCACTTAGAAGCAACCAACTTAGATGAGTAAAAATAACAACTCATTGGAGATAATGGAATGTGGTACAGCTTCTTAATTGATCATCAACCTGATCTTAAGGTATAAAATCATTTACCTTAACCTTGACTAATACTATACTTTTAGACTAAATTTGATTATGGAAACAAATAAGGTTGGGGTTTCGCAGATACTGAATATATACATGACGAGAAAACAGGATTCATTAAGCTTACTGGTAAAATTTTTAAATTCATTCCTTAGGAAGCAGATATCCTTACAGCAATGAGTGGATGCCTCACTTTAAAAATTGGGCAATTCAAGCAATTGGTATTGACATTAATATCAAAACTGAAAAGTAGCAAGATATGGAAATAGATGATCCAATATTAAACCATGAATTTCTCTAAGAGTTAGGAACATAAAACTTTTCTAGAAGATCATTTTTGAAATGGGAAAGAATAATGCATTCTCATGGAGAATCTTTAAAGGAAGCTTATTCTCTTAGAAGTGGTAAATTTGAAAGAGTTGTGGACATGGTCATTTATCCACAAATTCATGAGCAAGTAGAGGTAATTAATCATTTAAATATTTGGGTAGAAATTAGTGAAATTAGCTAATAGTCATAATATTGTTCTTGTACCGTACGGGGGAGGTACTAATGTAACAAATTCCTTGGAATTGTCGAAAGCTGAAAAGAGAATGATAGTCTCTGTTGATATGACAAGAATGAAAAAAATTAAATGGATAGACAGAGTAAATATGAGTGCTTGCATTGAGGCTGGTATATATGGAGCTGATTTAGAAAATGAATTGAAAAAATAGGGCTTTATGGTTGGACACGAACCAGTAATTAAATTTACGATATAATATATTAGGATTCATTAGAGTTTTCAACATTAGGCGGCTGGATATCAACAAGAGCAAGCGGAATGAAAAAAAATATGTATGGAAACATTGAAGACATAGTACAGAATATTAAGTTTGTAACTTCAAAGGTAAAACATATTGTACTTATAATAAATACTAAAGGGTACATATACGAAAACAAATAATTGGCCAAGAATCTCAAATGGTCCTGACCTTAATCATATTGTTTTGGGTCATGAGGGAAACTTTGGTATTGTTACTGAAGCAGTTTTGAGAATTAGGACATTACCATAAGTAAAGAAATTTGGATCAATCATATTTCCTGACTTTGAACTTGGCGTAAAATTTATGGATCAGGTTGCTAGGACTAGACTATGGCCTGCTTCAATTAGACTAGTTGATAATCTACAGTTCTAGTTCAGTTAAGCTCTAAAAACATCAAGTAGTAGTATCACCTAAGACATTACAGATTCATTGAAAAAATTCTATGTACTTTAAGTAAAAGGATTTGATCAGAATAAAATGAGTGCGTGTACTATTGCTTATGAAGGTGGTCGGGAAGAAGTAGAAGCTTAAGAGCAGAATATTGCAAGAATAGCAAGAAAATTCAATGGAATGCTTACAGGAGAAGAAAATGGCTTAAGAGGGTATTCACTAACATTTATGATTGCATACTTGAGAGATTTTGGTTGTTCCTATAATTTTGTCGCTGAATCAATTGAAACATCTTGTGCTTGGAGTTAAGTAAATATTTTGTGCAAATCAATCAAAGAAACATTGATTAAATCAAGTGAAAGTAGAGGGATTCCAGTTAATAAAATTTTTGCATCTTTCAGAGTCACCTAACTTTATGAGACTGGTGCAGCAGTGTACATTTATTTTGGATTTAGTTATGGTGATATGCAAATAAAAAAAGTAGTATAAATGTATGAAGAAATTGAAAATGAAGCTAGAGATGAAATTTTGAGAAATGGAGGGAGTATATCTCACCATCATGGTGTTGGTAAGATTAGAAAGAGATTTTCAGAAAAGACAATGCCTCCAATGGCTATTGATATTATGAGAAATTTTAAGGATATAATTGACCCAAAGAATGTTTTTGCAGTTAATAACACAATATATTAGAATGAAGAAGAAAGGTAAAATGATTTAACTCATAAACTTTGATACCTAATTAGAAATTTAAACCACATAAATTTGATGAAAATTACAAATTTTTTTTCCATTCATAACTAATATTAAAATCTCTTAACATTTAATATTAACTAAATTTAAATTTCAAATAGGTTTTTTCGGACTCATCTAATTATGTACCTTTCAATGATTCTTGTTCTTGGGTGTTGAATTTAATGAACTGCAATCAGGATATCTGCTTATATCAAAATTTTGTGGATTTTCGACATAGTCTTTGAAAATTTTGACAAATCTCCCAGCAATAGCTGCATCACCATATCTATGGTCAATAGTCCAAACTGTTTTCATGATGTCACGAATTTTTATTTCCCCATTCATCACTACAACCCTCTAAATTACTTTTCCAGAACATACTGTGTACATACTATGAAATGGTATAGCTATTGGTGCAAATCCTTCTTCAAAACCTAGTGTTCCTATATTAGTCAATAATGCTTGTCCATATTCGTTTCCTCTCAACTATAAATTAACTATTAATATATAAATAAATGTTATTTACTCCAAGGGCAGGAATACTGATTCCAACACATTACCCTAGATAGGTGAAGATGGTTATAAGAACTCCAAGTATAAAATTAGGTATTATGTCAAAAAGCTGAGTAGCTTTTATATGATCTTCATCTTGATTATTTTTTGCTTTCACCACTTTGCGACCTAAAACTTTTGCCAGATCAAGCAAAGACTCATTCTAAGCCTCTTAAAGGTTGACAGATAACAAATCTTTCCCATTTTCCTAATCAACCAATACAGATACTGTTAGAATCTCTGCTTTTTGAAACTATATTTGTTATTATAATGTTCTTATTACATATCCCCATCTAATTCTGCCCACATCTCTTCTATTTCTATCATTTGCTAAGAATATTGCTTTAGTCATTAATGTAGTTAATGTAATATTAACTTCCTATTATTCTTGACTATAGAAATGAATTCTTTTAAAATATTTACTTAAGCTTCTTGATATAAGGAAGTGTTTCAGTGACGTCTATATCAACTACAAGATGAGAAGTTGGATCTGAGGGCTCTAAATATTTTAAGATAATAAATAGCAAATACCACCAAATGAAATAGCTAGAAAGTTTTTTCTTTTTGAAACAGCAGATCTATCCAAAAGAATGAAATTGAAAATGATTGTATAAAGTGCAATAAAGACAATATAGATTTTTAGAAATGCTCCATCTATAAAGATGCTGTAATAAATACCAGCAAGAATCCACAAAACTATGAAAGCGTTCATCCAAATTAAGTAGTAATTTTATTAATAACTTTAAATTGCGACTCTCTAATATTTAACTAATACTAAAGATAAGAACAAAATATAGATGAATTTTACGTATTGTTTAATGATAATAAAAGTTTTGAATTCTGCTAACGTTTAAATTCAATTTTTAAAGATGATGGGGTTTTGGGGTTTTGGGGTTTTGGGG